CTAATTTCAATAGAGAAGGAGGCTGGGTACTACCACCTGCTTGGGATCCTATAATCAATAAAATTAAAACTAAACCCAAACATACCCCTGCAAGACCTCAATACATAGTCAGTTCATTTAGCATAGAACGGACCATAAACAATAATTAAAAAAGCTGAATGTACTCCGGGTTTAGTCACCTCAGCCCCCGCGACCATGGGTGCTAGAAAGCACACGAAACGTCGGGAATTAAAAATAAAAATAATTAAAATTTAAATTAACCACGATTAAATCCGTAAAAGTAGTTTTAATCAAAGTTAAAGTTACAATTATAGTTAAAGCCTGTATATGTCCTACTGCTGAGCACAGGCCTCTTTTCACTTCTGAGGGTTTTAGGGCAAGGAATTTAGTTTTAATTAGGATTTTTAATATTCACAAATATTTTGAAATTTCTTAAAATCTTACACGATTTCCACAGGTTTTTAAAATTAAAACGTACTTTACTAATCATTTATACTAAAACAGCACACGACTAATTACGTTGCTCAGATCATTCCGTCATACTCATAATAGAACAATAAAGTTGGCACCGCTCTTCCCCTAATGCTCTCCCCTTAATATAGCACTTCTGCTTTGTTTACCGAGTTAACAGATGTTATCGTAATGCTCGTCAAGTGAGCAATATATTTACATTTTAATATTAACTTATTCTTATGATTATTATTTTTATTTCTTTGTATTTCTGCACAAACGAACACATTTTGAGTTGAGTCTTCCTTATATTTTATCTTCTACATTTTTAGTAAGTTTATGCGTTTTTCATCAACTTTACAGCTTATGGCAAGGCCTCTGTATCTATTGAATTCCTACATAAATTATGGATCCTACCTAATAAAGTGACGACCTGACTCTGATACACTTATCAGGTCCTTACTCCAATAAGTACGATGTAGGGGCCTCCATACATTTCACTTGGCGATACGAGTCTCTCATTCAACAAACGCTTAATATAAATAAAATGAGAACGTTATCATCGTATTCGAAATCAATTAAATACGCATTATTTAGGATAACTCCAAAACTTTTATTACGTGGCAGAAACATGCTGCAGCTATATTAGTAGAATAGTTGTAGCACGAATAGGTCGGTTCGACCGGGGGAGGATTACGTTCTCACAGAATACCAGCGTAAAATTGCAGCTTAACACTGTTGTGTTTTGTATGATGAGTGTAGAGAACCGGATACCCTTTTAACTGGAAACGAGGCATTCCATCTTAGTTCTCACGGGTGAGTATGCTCCTGTATTTTAATTTGTAATCGAAGATAGATTTAGATATCTATGGGCCGCTGCAGTTACTTACCATCACGTGGACTGTGTGCTCGTTTTTCACCATATCCCATTAAAAAAACTAATGGTCAGATCTTGATCAAATTTATATGGGACCACATGAGAAGCACCATTATTCAAATAAAAATGAATCATCCAAATCGGTTCACCTAAAAAAAGTACTAAAGTAACACATTAAAAAATACAGTCGAATTGAGAACCTCCACGATTCATTGAAAAACGAGAACCTTTCTTACCCATCACTTGTCGGTTCTTGAAGCTATCTTGGAGGCCCGCTCATTGCCACTACAGCTTTTTAATCTTCTAGGCTGTGTCGGTTATACTTGTATTTTTACGGATATCCTCCTTATTTCATCACATTCAGAAAATTTTTAACATAGTTTTTCTCATGGCAAGCCGAGTCAGTTTGAGCTTCATCATACAGTTCGTAATACGTCTGCAAAAAGGTTAGAATTTTGGAAGTGGGTAATTAATTACGCACAGATGCATACAAGTTAACAGTAAAAAAAAAACAAAAATAAAAAAATCTTTTACTATTATAACTAATCTACAAGAAACCTTTCACTGGTGAAGATCTCCTCCAAAGAGTCCCAATTTTATCTATCTTGAGCCGTTTGCATCCAGCTTAGCAGTAAGCGGTCGTCCTCTGTAACGTTTTCAACTTAGGCTTCTCCATCATGTCACCTTTATGATTAACCGCTCAGGTCAACAAGTTAATATAAAGCGAATTAAAATTTTCTGCTGTATATTTGTAAAGGTATTTTACAGCCGAACAAGCAGACAAATATTCTTTTAAGTTGTACGTCCATTTAGAGAGGATTTTAATAACGTGACAAATTATGAATTCCTCTTCCACTTATTTTCTCATAAAAATTATATCTTGTTTAACGTGTTATTTTCTTTCACTTCAAAATAATGTATTACATAAAGATCAAAAAGATCATGAACAATCATCAAAGCGTGTTATACAAGTTTTTTAAGTTCCAATATTATTGATTAAAACTACTTTTACGGATTTTATCGCGTTTTATTTATATTAATTTTAATACCCGACGCTTAAAATTAATATAAATAAAACGCGATAAAATCCGTAAAAGTAGTTTTAATCAATGTATAGTGTTCGCGTAAATATAAGAAATCATTTCCAATATTATTATTTACATTTTAAAAGCTACAAACAATTGATCGTATATTGGTGGTATAAGAATGCACTACCCCATTTCGTCCCATGTATGTCGTAAGAGGCGACAGAGGGAAAAAACCAGAAGTTCTTAATAATATCTAAAATTAAAAAAATGTTCGTTGCCTACCCGCCTCCTAGGTGTTGTAAAGTAAAGTTACAGCCTGTATATGTTCCACTGCTGGTCACAGGCCTCCTCTCATTTCTGAGAGGGTTTTAGGGCAAGGAATTCCGTCGCGCTGCCCCAATGCGTGTTGGCGAACTTCACATGTCTTCGAAATATTTTTTTTCTTATTTCTCAGACATGCAGGATTCCTCACGATGTTTTCCTTCACTGAGGAGTACGTACTAAATCAGCGCTTAAAATTGCAATTTACTATTTCATTGGTACCGGCGGGGATCGAACCCGGTTTGCTCGCGTATTGTGCAATTTACAACGAGCGCTAACCATCTGAGCTACCACGGCTCGGTGTTGTAACTATGGCAAATCCCTCCCCCCATCAGGCAATCTATGGGAGGCCCTTGTTTATCTGTGGACTATTGATAGTACGTAACGGTAACTATGAAATAAATTGTAATACATATCTTAGCGTAAACACCGTATATAAACCGTCAAAATATTATTTAAAAAGGAAAATATAGCCAACGAAGTTGGGAGAAATATAATTTACTCCATATTCCGCAATTTATTTTTATCAAATGTAAATAAATTTTATTCAAGGTAAATCTCGTTATATTATAAAAAAAATACAAAATTTGAATACACAGACCAACAATAAAGTTAATATTGCATTTTTTGTCTAATTGACCTTCTAATTTTTATACGATAAGTACTTAAAATGGGAAACATTTGTACCATTTTAATGTGAAATTTATTTCGAGTACTAACTTCTTTTTATAGGATAAGGGTGACAACGAGCACACAGTCCATTGATGGTAAGTGGATGCTGTGGCCCATAGACATCTACATTTAATCTCGATTAAGAATCAACATGCAGATGAGTTGTAACCCTTGAGGGCTAAGATGGAATGCCTCGATTCCAGTAAAACGGGTCTCCGGTTCTCTACACTCACCATACGAAACGCAGCAGCATCATGCTGGTATTTTACGCTGGTATTCTATGAGAGTGTGGTCCTCCGCCGGTCGAGCCGACCCATTTATGCTACAACCATAATATAGCTGCAGTTGGCTGTACCAGGTCTAAATAAGAGGTCCTTGTTGTGTTACAGATTTTTATGTAACTCTTTATTGCATTTGACTGCCTCGTTGGTCTAGTGGATGTAGTAGTGCGACTGCTGATCATGAGGTCCTTGGTTCAAATCCCGGGTTGAGCCAAAAATCAATTAGTGAGTTTTTCCGTTAAGAAATTCTCAGTAGCCGCTCGGAGTCAGGAAGTTGGCGGTGTCTCACCCCCGTGCCTTGGAAAGTACCTAAAGCCGTTGGTCCTGCGCCTGATCTCTCTCCGGTCGTGTCGGTTTACCGTTCCATCGGATTATGAAAGTGAGGGAACAGAGAGTGCACCTGTGCTTGCCTCAATCAAAATAAAAACAAAATCAACCAGTCCATAAGGACTATATTTACTGTTTAACAATACCTTTTCGCACAAACAATAAAATTGTAGAAGTAATGAGGTCCCCAGGCTGGGTCATGTTACGCTACCTGCCAGTCCTTTACCTCACTTGAGATAAATTTATAACACGCTTACGGGGTCCTCCGCTATTTTAATACTTCACACATTCTGTAAACGTAATTTTATTTCATTAATTGTTATTATCAATTAAGTCCTCCTGACCAAAAACGTCAAATTTTATCTCCAATTGAGTTTTATATTTAAATATTTTAAACCAGTTTTAGTAATCCACGCAACAACCTGGAAAGAGATGCAAGAAATAGATAAATGCAAATAGCTCAGGACCGTTCTCTGTGGGCCATTTTAAGCAATGAACTTGTGATTGACTATAATGATGATGATGAAACAGTTTCGAATATAGACACATTTTAATCCACACGGAAGAGAATCCACCAATTATAATCCTGTCAATTATAGATCATTAACAATCAATTAATAAAAACAAAATGGAAAGAAATTTAAAAGCGTAAATAATATTTACGTTCCGAAGTCACATTTCACCTGTTTTATTGACTGCATAACAGTATCGCTTCGACCGAGTAAAAACTCGCCTCTCACAGTATACGCGACAACTTTTTTTTAAATACATTTTGATGGAATAGAAATAAAAAACGTCCCGATTGAAAATAACAATTCTTTGAAAATGACAAAAATTGGTTTAAATAATATGACACCAAGTGGCCCTATAATAATAATAATAAAATTAAACAAAGTAAATAATAATATAATTAAACAAAGTAGCGCCATCCCAGCCTGGAGAAAAAGAATTGAGGACCGTATCGCAAAGGCAAGGGCCCTTATCGGCAGACTGATAAGCTTCAGGTCGGGTAATAATAGACCGAGGGTTGTGCGCACCGTTAGAATGGCGTTTGCTGGGACAAATATCAGTTTGTCCCAGCCGGATATCACGCAGAAACTAACGGAGCGCATAGACGACCTGAAGCAAAAGATTGCTGCTTGGGGGAAGCGGATTCGCCGATTTACCGAGAGGTCAAGGCGGTTCAACCAGAATCGTCTCTTCCAGAGTGATCAGAAGAGGCTCCACAAATCATTGGAGCGACCAGAGGTATGTGGAGCGGACCCAGGACCGGATCAGGCTAACACTGTCGCATTTTGGCGTGGCCTGTGGTCAGAGCCCGTAAACCACAGCGAGGGCCCTTGGACGGAAGTTGTGGCGAGTCAGTGTGCGAGTATTACGCCCATGGACCCCGTCATCATAACGCCGGATGACGTAGCTGAGGTGGTCCGTAGAGCCCCGAACTGGAAATGTCCGGGACTCGACGGACTGCATCACTACTGGCTGAAGGGGTTCATAGTGTGTCACGCTGTGCTCGCCCGTCAGTTTCAAGAGGCTCTCAACCAGAAGTCGCTCCCTAGCCTCTTCATTACTGGGATCACTCATTTGGTTCCTAAAGACCAGGTTACCACAGACCCGAGCAAATACCGCCCCATTACGTGTCTAAGACCATCACCATATATAAGATACTGACACCCATTTTGAGCGCGAGAATCACTCGTCACCTGGAGCTAAATCAGGTGATGTCACGCGCTCAAAATGGATGTCGGGGCGGTGGTCGTGGAACTAAGGAACCACTCCTTATTGACGCGGTCATTGGCAAAGTGGTGAAACGCAACCGTCGGAACTTCTCCGCCGCCTGTATAGACTACAAAAAGGCATTCGACTCGGTGCCCTATACATGGCTAAAGAGAGTCCTCGAGCTGTACAAGATAGACTGTACAGTGAGAGACTTCCTCGAGCAGTGTATGGGGCAGTGGAGTACGATCCTTTGTCATCTGATTGAGCGGATGATGGCTGCGGAGAACCACATAAGGATAAGAAGGGGTATCTTCCAGGGCGATTGTCTGAGTCCAATCTGGTTCTGCCTCTCCCTGAACCCTCTCAGTACCTTACTGGAGGGATCCTGGAGAGGATTTCAGCTACGGAAAGGAGGGACAAAAGTGACCCACCTTTTCTATATGGATGACCTTAAGTTATTCGCCTCCAGTCGCTCCCATCTTGTGGAATTGCTAAAAATCACTTGTGAGTTTAGCAGTTCCATTGGAATGGAGCTGGGGACGGATAAGTGTGCGGTCCTCCATGTTGAAAGGGGAAGGGTTGCTAACTCTGAGGGCATAGACTTATCTATGCCCGTCAACTTAAGGACCCTTTCCGAGGCTGAAACATACCGATACCTCGGCATGTCACAGAATATCGGTATCGATGAGGCTGGTATGAAACAGTCAGTTTGCGACGTGTTTTTTTGCACGCTTGACCAAAGTGCTTAACAGCCTTTTGTCCGGTGTGAATAAGACACATGCATATAACGGTTGGGTCATGCCTGTCCTGATGTATACCTTTGGCATACTCAGGTGGAGTCAGACTGAACTTAACGCCCTGGATAGAAAAGTGTGCACTACAATGACGTCCCATAGGATGCATCATCCGAGATCGTCGGTAATGAGGCTGTACTTGCCGCGAAAGCATGGTGGGCGTGGCTTTCTGAGCGTGCTCACCATGCATAATCGCGAAGTGTGCAGCCTCCGTCATTACTTTCTGGCGAGATCGGATGATCCATTCTATAATGACGTCATTTCTAGTGATAAAGGACTTACCCCTCTATCCTTAGCCAACGAGCAATGGCAAGACCCGGCAGTACAGAGCATTTCCGACCGGGAGACCGTATGGAAGGAGAAGGAGCTCCACGGGAGGTACTACAGGACTCTACATGAGCCCTTCGTAGATATAGCCGCCTCCCTCAACTGGCTACGTTTCGGTGACCTCTTCGGCGAAACCGTGGGTTTTGTCTGTGCAATACAGGATCAGGTTATTAAGACCAACAACTATCGGAGATACATCCTAAAGGATGGCGCTGTCGACTTCTGTCGAGCTTGTCGCCATTCCGGCGAGTCACTTAGGCATGTCATCTTCGGTTCTTCGGCGCTTTCTAACCCTGAGTACTTGCACAGGCACAACCTAGTAGCCAGAATTCTACACCAGGAGCTCGCTCTGAAATACGGTCTCGTGGACCGAAAATTGCCGTATTACAAGTACTTGCCGGAAGCCGTGCTCGAAAATGACCGCGCCAAGCTCTACTGGGACCGGGCCATCATCACAGACAGGACTATTCTTGCGAATAAGCCTGATATTGTGCTGATGGACCGGGCACAGTCAAGGATATTTTTGATCGACATTACCATTCCGTATGACGAGAACCTCGTGAAAGCCGAAACAGAGAAACGAACAAAATATCTGGACCTGGCTCACGAAGTGACCGACATGTGGGGTGGTCTGCCGACCGAAATTATCCCTGTAGTCGTCTCTGCGAATGGGCTAAATCGCCTCAGCCTCGGAGAGGCTGACTGGGACTCCGTGATGGACCGCTCCGAGCTCAAATGCAGAAGGCGGTGCTCCTCGATATCGCCCGCATCGTCCGCCGGTTTCTTTCCCTTTCCCCCTAACCCTCGGCCGTTTGGTCTCCCCTGCCGAGGGCTTCCATCTGGTTGGATCTAATTTATTTATGTAGTTTTTGTATTTATTTTATTTAATTGATATATATGTACATTTATCTTTTCATTTTAATTTATAATTATATATTTATAGAACCCAACCAGGTGAGAAAATTATATAGATACCCCAATAATAATAATAATAATAAGTATATGCACGTGGCAACTGTGGCAACATGCATATACTACCGGTAGGAAAACTTGAAAAAAATCGCATGGCAAAATTGAAGCGGAATAGTTTTCGGTAATCATGCGCCGATTTCTCCTGAACTATTAAGCTTTTTCGGCATTTCATGCATTTCACTCGTTCAGCTTACGAGGCGAATTCATGTAATTGCTTCTCGTCTACTCTCATACAGTAATTATATTTCCGACAGTTCCAGAATAATTTGAAACGATTAAATATAAAGGTAATTGACACGTGAAGTTCAAACGCTTTCATATTTTCCATTAGTTTTCAACGAGTTATGAATTGAAAATAGTAAATATTTGTTAATCAAACCTATTTTGATTTGATTAACAAATATTTACTTAAGCATTGCTCAAACTAAACTAAAGCTCCGGAAAGCAAGCACATAATTGTCACTAATATTTATAATTTGTAAACTGATAGTTATTCATTATTATTTATAAAAAAAACTATTTAGATACCTTTTATCTTGTCATAATTCCTACTTAGGTACTTTTTACCTAATTAGTACACTTACTAAGGTATTATGGTTAGATATTCGTGAGGGGATGGAAAAATCAAAACTGACCGTTCTCATCATAATTGATTTTTCTAATGCATTTAATTCTGTCGATCATGGTATCCTGTTAGCTCTTCTTTCTCATTTGAATATCTCGTCTTCAGCTCAGGAATGGTTCTCAACATATCTTCGGGGGGCGCCAACAGGCTGTGCGTACTGATCATATACTATCTGACTGTCAATTGGCGTCCCTCAAGGCGGTATTATCTCTCCTCTTCTGTTTTCCATTTTTATAAATCTCATCACACTAAATCTCAAGAGCTCTTACCATTTTTATGCTGATGATCTGCAGTTATATGCGCAAGTGGAACCTTCAAATATCCTAAGTGCTATTTCATTGTTAAATGATGATTTAAAATATATCTCAGAATGGTCTACTGTGTATGGCATAAACGTAAACCCGTCTAAATGCCAAATGATAATCTTAGGTAGCTCAAGATTATTATCTAAACTGGATATTGCCACCCTACCATCAATTATGTATAATAATAATGTCATACCGTCCTCTACTAGTGTAAAGGACCTTGGTCTGTACATCGATGGTTGCTTAACATGGAACAAACATATACAGGAGGTGAGTCGCAAAACTACTGGAACTTTGCGATTTCTATATCGATTTAAAAACTTTCTTCCCACCAATACCAAGATTTTACTTGTCCAATCACTTATTGTACCGATTATTGATTATGTCGATGTGTGTTGCTCAGACCTGTCTCAACTTCATCTTAATACATTGGATCGTCTGCTTAACAACTGCATCAGATACATTTATGGTTTTCGTAAATACGACCATGTATCTTCCTTTCGTACACAGTTAAACTGGTTGCCTATCCGTCAGCGCAGATATGTTAGAATACTCTGCACCCTTTTCTCAATTTTGAACGATCCATGTGCTCCCGAGTATCTGAAATCTAAATTTCAATACATGGGAGATTCTCATAAATTTTCTCTCCGTTCCTCGGCCAATCTTAAGTTACTCACTCCTTTACACCGTACTGGTTATTTATCTCACTCTTTCGCCCTCGTGGCCATCAGACTCTGGAACGACATCCATCTTGACATTAAAAAAAGCTCCCAACAAATTCGTCTTTAAAAATCAAGTCCGTAAGTATATGATTAAATCGTCGCAAGTTTGAATTGACTAAGCTCTCTTTTTCGTATATATTTCATATTTGTTCTGACATATATAATATTTATACGAACCTATTGTGTATGTATATATATATATATATATATATATATATATATATATGTATTTATGTATATACAGTGTATGTATGTATATATTACATTCTATTATATATTATATATATATATATATGTATGTATATAATATCTATGTATTGTTTATTACATATATTATTATTTCTTTTATCCTCTCTATTTGATTATTGCTGCACCGCCTCCATAATGTCTATCTCTGTTTAGCCTAATGGTTGACTGGGAGAGAATGCCCTATGACATTAAGTCCGCCATATGTACTTTTTTGTGCATGAAAGTATATAAATAAATAAATAAATAAATACTGGGTAGGTAACAATAAAAGCAGAACAAAATAAAATATAAAGTCAATTTATTTATTTTGACTGAAAGAAATTGATAACAAATTTTATTTAACATTGACATTTAACAATACGGACACCAGGTGAACATATGCACATACATACACCAACACTCAGTATAAATTCGCAAACTAGTACGCATACAATATGCACAAATTGATACCCACACCACATACTATAATGCAACTACCAAATACACAAAAATACTATATCCTATCAATTATTGAATAAAACTATATTTCCAGATTTATCACGTTTAGTTAACTAATTTTTAATTTTCGACGTTTTGGGTGCTTTACAGTACCCTTGGTCATGGAGGGGGGGACTGAAATGTTTGACGTACTAGTACGACGTGACGTAATTTCATAGTTAGCCTGGCTACCTTCAGTTTTTGAATTAAATTTTTGGTCCAATCTACACAGAACGAGCTTACAGTATCTTGAAGTCCTGCAGTGGTATGCCTGGGTTTAGATATAATTTTGTTAATTATAGGATCGCAAGCAGATGGCAGCACCCATCTATTGTCTCTATTGTAATCGGAATGTTTTTAATTTCAATAGCCTGTCGTCGGTACATCCTTGGTAGGAGTCGGTGTTCTTTTGCGTCGGTGTTGGTAATTTATCAAATCTGATGTAACGGTGGGGACGATCTTGAACATGTTCATATACTAG